TGGCTGATGCCTGAGGAAGGAAGGAAGGAAGGAAGGAAGGAAGGAAGGAAGGAAGGAAGGAAGGAAGGAAGGAAGGAAGGAAGGAAGGAAAACTCATTCCCAACAACAAACAAACATAGACTGAAAGTCTACTTTCAAAATACTGGCTGATGCCTGAGTGATTCCAACATAGAATATGTTAATACATTCTTCAAGGATGAAGATGAACTTGCAGATAGCTGGAAACACTGTCAGCAGCCTGGCTGTCTCCCAGTATTTCATTTCAGAAAAATGCAAAACAGAAAAGAGGTGGGCGTGAGGGCACACACCTGAAATGTCAGTAATCTGAGGCAAGAAAGCAGGAAGACCCCTAATTTGAGGCCAGCCTGTCTCATAGCAAGAACCTGCCTCCAAGAAAAATGTATATAGAAACCATATGCTTGATATAATATGAAAGTAGAGAATGTCATAATCAAAATTGAACAAGATGAAAAAAATAAACATCACAGCATGTCCTTGCTAATACCCCTCTACCCTTACCCCCTCAGTGGCGCCACCAGGCTGGGAAGCGAACTGAGAGGAAGACAGGAATGCCAGCAAATGGATGTGCCACTCCAGTGTTGATCTAGAATTACCGCCAGACAGACAAGGCTGTGCCATCTGAAGGGTCTGATAGCGCTGTTGACAGTGTCCACTTGCAGCCCAAGGAATTTTTATACAATCCTGGCATATAAGAACAAAGAGTAGATATACAAAGCAAGCATCCAGTGATAGTCAATCATAAAGAATTTATTTTAATTCTTTGGTACACATAACTTCACCATTAAAGATGAAAACACTTACATGCTAATGAGATAAATACACTTGTCTATTTTTATTTTTGGTTTTTCGAGACAGGGTTTCTCTGTGTAGCTTTGCGCCTTTCCTGAGACTCACTCTGTAGCCCAGGCTGGCCTCGAACTCACAGAGATCCACTTGCCTCTGCCTCCCAAATGCTGGGATTCAAGGCGTGCACTAACACTGAACTTTATAACATAGTCTCGAATCTGAGCTGGGTGCTTCAGGCAGCTGTCATTGCCTTTGTGTGGTGTGATGTCATGCACAGTGCAAAGTCTGGGCCGTGTGCTCGAACCAAAACTCATGAAGTACTGTGAGAAGACAGGCAAGCACAGCTCCAGACACCTTGGAATTGCTGCACACTTTATTGGGGTGGGGAGTGCATTTTGAGTCAGGGTTTTTCTGTGTAGCCCTTGCTGTCCTGGAACTCACTCTGTAGCCCAAGCTAGCCTCAAACTCAGAGATCTGCCTGCCTCTGCCTCTGCCTCCCAAGTACTGGGATTATAGACACGTGCCACCACCACCTGGCATATATTTGATTTTGAATTAATTCTTTTTTATATGATTATTCCACACCATTTTATTGATTGATTTTTATATTGTTCGCATTTGTGTTTTGCCTACACGTATGTCTGTGTGAGTGTGTCAGATTCTCTGGAACTGGAGTTACAGACAGTTGTGAGCTGCCATGTGGGTGCTGGGAATTGAACCCAGGTACTCTGTAAGAACAGCCAGTGCTCTTAATCACTGAGCCACCTCTCCAGGCCTTGGATCAATTCTTAGTGATGGCATGTTCAGAAACCTCTTACCACTGTCAACTCTATAAAGCATATGTTGGGTTGCTGGGCCCATGTAGAATCACCATATGGTCTAAAACATGTCAAAGTGGAGCAGACCACAAACTGGAGAGTCAGGGCTTCAATGTAAGCCTGATCTGAATTGGCTAGGTGTGACTTGAGGGCATCTTTGAGATGTAGCTTCTAATGAAGCGTAGAACACACAAGGAGAAGCACCCTTTTGACAATTGGGGATGAAAGAAAAGCAAAAGGCATGCTTTAGAATCCTGTCAGATGAGAACTGCAGAGGTGGAGCACTTTCTACCCTGTCACCAAAACCGAACCACTATGGAAGTAGCTGGACTTTTCTCTGTGACAAGAAATCTCTGCATGAAAATAAGATATGGATACCAGGGGCTGGGAGTTGGCTCAGTGGTTAAGAGCACTTGTTGCTACTGGAGAGGACCCAGGTTCAGTATGTAGTACTCACATGATGGCTGACCATCCCTAACTCCAGTTCCTGGGGATCTGACACCCCCCTCCTATCTTTGGACACCAAGTGTGCATATAGTGCACATACATGCAGACAAAATACTCTTACATATAAAATAACTTTTTTTTGGAAAAAAATCTTTTAATTGCAGATAATATGATTATATATGAAAATACAAAATAATTTACAAATTATAAATAATATAATTTAGTTCTACTTGTAACTCTGGGTAGACTGAGTTGAAACAGACTTTATTAAGAGCAATTACAAAAATTGGGCTGGGCATGATCACACACACTTCATCCTAGTAGTTGGAGAAACAGGCAGGTATACCTCTTTGAGTTCCAGGCCAGCTTGACCTATGTACAGATTCAGGACAGCCAGGGCTACTTAGTGAGACCCACTGAGTCAAAATAAAAAAAAAGTTGGGATAGGAAAAATAAATACACACTAAAGAATTGGTGAACTACTAAGAGTTTAGTAGCCTAAAGCAAGTGAGTTGTGAACAGGATAATAAAATGTTTGCCACAGGCATTTGCTGTTTCCTACATGGAGTTAGGAGAAAGAGTGCTATCTACCTCTAATCCCAGCACTAGGGAGGCAGAGCCAGGCGAATCTCTGTGAGTTCAAGGCCAGCCTGGACTACCAAGTGAGTTCCAGGAAAGGCGCAAAGATACACAGAGAAACCCTGTCTGGGGG